CACGTGCTCGCCGCCCGCCCGCGCCCCCGGCGGGATGGGGACGGCAGCCTGCGGAACAGCGGGAAGCCTGGGCTGGAGCGCTGCTCAGACTCCTGGGTGTCGGTGCCCCGCTGGCTTGCGGGCTGGGAGCTGAGGGGCGGCACTGGGAGGTTGCTTGGCTGCAGCCTCGCAGGACTTCGGTGCTGCCAGAAGTTAGGAAATACCCCTCGAATCCCATCTTAGCAGCAGACAAGCCAACCTCCTCTAAGCTTAAGAGAACCGTGACTCCCCACCAAAGTTGGGAAGCCACGTGTAAATTCCCATTGTCTGGTATTTTACTAGTCCTTCTTTTTTGGAGACTGGAGCTCTGAGCTTCCTTCCCACTGTACACGGCTGAAAAGTCACCCATTGCCTGACTGTACTGCAGCATTTCCTGTCCCATAGTGGCTGCATAAATCCCGTGTGACCAGAGGTGTACCCCATGTGTGAATGAAATTCTCGTGTTGCCTGGTGCGTGCGTGGTGCGAGGCATCCACTTGCCACGTCGTGGAGAGTCACCGGATGAGTCTAAATTAGTGCTTTAGTTCCATTCAGGCTTCTGAAACGTATTTACTGTTTGCCCCGGCTGACCACACTTTGGTTTCCATTGCGAATCAGCCTGGGAATGCGTGAACTGGGATTCCATTCAGGTGAGACTGACCTGGGGGATGTAGTCTGTCTACACCTGATGTGCTCCAGCCTCAGAAATATATGTAGCAGATGAAGTCGTACTGAGGCAGATCTGACGCCGTGGTTGCCATGTTTTCAGCACTCACTCTTTCTCCAGATCTGCTGCTGTCACTCCACAGCACTTGCTAGTTTAGTCTTAGCCTTGATGTTTTCATGTGTGTGCCTATAGTCCCAGCCACGGAGACAGAACTGACGTTTCTTGGGACTTGGGGTACTTCGTGTTGTGAGATGGATAGGCTTTAATTAATATGGTGATGGTGAAGAGACTGAAGGGTCTTTGAGGATAGGATGCTGTGAAGTGGGCTGACAGCTGGATAGGTTGTTCTGGGGGAAAGTAGTGAGTGTAGCTTGCAGGGCTGTGGGTCAGATGCAGTAGGCTAGACAAACTGCTTCTAGCCACTGTCTGCTCTCACTGTGTGAAACTGTGCATTGGTAACCCATGTTTACACCTCCTCTGTCTCACCTAGAATTACCCTTCATTAGGCATAAATTATTGTAGAGACTTTTTTTATTTCGTACTGGGTGTGAATCTCGCCCTTTGGGTCGGATGGCGTATGGACAAAGCTATAGGTAGTCTAGTTACATATTTTTCTGAACTGCAAAGAAGTTTGTTACTATGTAACACTAAAATGTTTTTGCATTTCGAAAGAAGTTGCTTACCCAAAAATACTTAGAAAAAAGGAATATGCAGTCAGCTAAAGCTAAGGAAATACCAAGAAGAAAAACTCAGTGGCCAGCAAGTATTGTCTAGGTTTGTATGCCTGCACTGTGTCATTTAGTGTTTCATATCTATGTGAAATGTATGAATAATAATGCTATTACAGCACATATAGCTATAGATATTTACATCTTATTATTTATTCCATATTTTGCTCTTTAGAAATTGAAGACTAGGAGTTAAGTTTCGCCTCTGTGTACATAATGTGAGAGGCTTTTGTAAATAATATGTTCTCAGTAACACAGATTTTTGCTCTTTTTCTCTCAACACTTTAAAGAGATGGAGGAGCTGGCAGAGCATGGTGTTTTCCTGCCTTATAATATGCAAGGGCTGACAGATGAGCAAATCGAAGAACTGAAGTTAAAGGATGAGTGGGCAGAAAAGTGTGTACCAAGTGGTGGAAGTGTCTTCAAGAAGGATGAAATTGGGCGAAGAAATGGACATGGTAAATCCATCATATATGTTTGTTTGTTTGTTTGTTTCCCTGCAGACATAGATAATCTGTGACATAATGAGGAACATGAAGACCATAATTCTCTCACTGTCCTAGAAGACAAAAAAGAGAGACTAGATATTAATGTGCGTATTTCAGGCCAGTGTGTTAGCTGGCTCATGTCCATTTACTAATTATAAAAATAATCCAATAAATAAACTCTATTAAAGGTGGTTGTAGATTCGTTAAATAATAACTGTTACAAGAGCCAGCTTTCACAATCAGTCATCTAAAAGATCTTCTGTCTTGGGTTAGGGCCTGGTGTAATGTTGATTTAAAAGCCAGAGTACTAGTGTATCTCTTCAGCACATGTTACTTAACTTTGCAACTGTAGTACTTGGAAGTAAACTCCGAACGTAAGTAAGCAGTTGTCAACAGCAAGTTTGGCTGGTTCACTTTAATTTATTCTCCCCATTTGTAAACACATGCTTGTGTAGGGTTTTTCTCCAGCAGCTCCAAGGTACGTTGACAGGTTGTTTCTCTAATCTTTCATCTTTTTTCTCGTTCACTGTGACTCAGGCTCACTGAAGTCACGCCTGTCACTTTTTCCTTCTGCAACTCCAGCCAGGTGTTTTTGCCTTAGCACTTGGTATCGGTATTGAGCATCACTTCAGAGCTGAGAGCATGGGGACTGGTCACACAGAGAGACTGTGATTGCCTTCTCGTTGGCTGTCCCTGTGCTCCTGACACCGCAGCAGCCCTTGTCGGGCCTTTAGATGCTGATGGCAGGGCAGCGTGGTTGAGGAGGTATCTTTGAATAACTCACTCTTCACTTGTCATAGGCAAACAGCTTACTCCAAGCGTCTCATTTTGGGGAAAATAATGCTTCTAACACAACACGTTGCCCAATCAGATTTAAGCCTTTGCTGAAACTTAAGAGCTTATAGTGAAACATTTTCCCTCCTGTGTCCTCAGAAATAGCTGAGTGTCTCGCATGTAGCATGTAGACAAAGCCTGTCTTGTTTGGCGTGGTTGTGAGCCGTTTCAGGCCGTGCAGTAAAAATTTGCAGGCAATGTTAACATAAGAACAGTACAACTTGTGGTTGTATTCGTGCCTTTGTTTGTTAGTGGGAGGGCTGCTTTGTAATATTAACTAAGTCCTTATGTTGAAGAGCATGTAAATGTGGGCCAAACTAAATACTGTCAAATGATGCATTTAAATGTTCAGCTGTGAATGAGTGTGATTTTGTTGGTGGTGGTTTTGAGGAGAGGCTTTTTTTCACAATTACAATAGGTAACTGTAATGTGACGTGCACATTGTATTTGCAAAGCTGCGTTTGCTGTTAGATTGAAATTTTAATTGGAAAAAAGTCAGAAAACTCCAAGCTTTTTGTCCCCTTTTATGCACATCTTCCAGCACATCCCACAACAGTCATAAATATGCCATGGGAAAGAGAGTCTTGGTTTTGGTTGTGGTGAGTATGAGATTATGGCTGTTGCTTTCTACTCGGTATTTTTGTCTGAAATGGAAGTTCCAGATACCAATGAAATGTCTTTGTGGAAAAGTAAGTTTGGCTCTCCAGGGAGAAATACTGTTTTCTTTCTTAAGTCTGTAAGAAATATGGCAGTGAACTGTCAGACTAGTAAATAGACTGCAACTCAGTAGTGTCTGTCTTGCTTTGTGATTTAACAGTTTAGTTTGCTTACAGTAGAGAATGACCTGGACCCATCGTTTGCTCGGTTTCTTTCTGATAAGTGTAGACTATTAAATATAGGTCTCTTCTTTTTAGCTCCAAATGAAAAAATGCAGCAAGTTATAAAGAAGACAATAGAGGAAGCCAAGGCATTAATCTCTAGGGTAAGTTTCCTGAAGTAGCATCTGGTATGTGGGAGGCTTTCTTAAAAGGTGCTGTGTGGTTGGGCATCTTAAGAAAAAATAGACTTTTTTCAGTGCAAGAGCTAGCCATTTTGGGGTAATATGAAGCGACGTGAACACGCTAATAAAAAATGACATTTCTGTGAACACGCTAATAAAAAATGACATTTCTGTTAATGATTTTCTTAATGGCTTTTGGCAAGCTGGTTCAACAAGTTAAGGAATCAGATGTTGAACTCGGAGTGAATGCTGGCAGCTGAGACTGCATTGAATGATTGCATCACATTTAATTTTACCCATACGCTCCTAATTTGCTATTGATGCATTCTTTAGGTGAATGCTTGTCGTGCTTTCTGGTGAAAAATTAACTGTGCTCTGTGGTGTTCCTGGAATAAAATACCTTTTGCTCACTAACAGAGTCTTTTGGGTTTTACGTATAATTAATGAAAAACGTGTTCTCATCTCATAGATTTGGCCTTGTTTTTACAAACACTTGGACTCATGCTCAGTCCCAGTGAGTTTGTGTGTTTATAGATGGGTGCGAGGGTGTGCCCTGATGGGACTGTGGTGTCAATTTTTCACCTTCGCTTTACCACATCTGTACATGCTCTTATTGTGTCTCAGCTTTCATATGGCCTTGAAACACAGATTAAGTAATATTTACTATCAGATTGCTTTTTTTGGTAAGCACCTGCAAGTAATCTTCTCCTCCCCACCCGTACAATTCTGGGAATTAGTATGTGCAGAACTTTGAAACAGCTTTAAACGAGTTATGCAAATAGATAAAGCTACTGAATTTTTAGTGCTGCCTGTGCACTTAAACTGGCCTTCTTGGCTGTTTGGTTGCTGATAACAGCATCACATCAGTCATTCAGAGTGAGCAGGTCAGCGATTCCAAAGGCCTCAGGGAGGCAAGCAGAGGAGCTGCCCTGTTGCCTGCAGTGTTTCCAGCGCACTGGGCTGCAGCAGACCTTTCCTGAACTGACGTGGGATTTCAGCCAAACTGTTCTGAGTCGCAGCAAAATCTGTGCAAAATGGAAGACTTTTCAGGTTAAAGCTTCTGGGCTATGAATATCTTCTCCAGGCGGATTTCTTTTTCCTGTTGTATTGCATCTCATCTACTCTCTTTCTAAAGAAGGAGGAAATTAATAGTATGTAGTTTTACTTCTTGAGTCAGAAATATCTGTAGATCTGCAGGTCTTCCAGGGTGAAACTCCCAGCTATATACCATGGTGTCCTTTACAATGAAAAGTTGCCGCGCTGCATGCTGACTGACTTACTCCAGAAATTGCTGCCATTCACTAGTAAATGAAGTCAAGGATAGTTTGTGAAGTGGTTTCTCAGGTTCATTACTTTATAATGATGAAAATGAAGAAATGTGCCTCAGTATTTTAAAAAAAAGAAAAGTTGCTCATCTGAGATTGAGAAACCAACTGTAGTTGCCAGTTAACCAGTTTAAGAATGTCCACAAGGCGGCAACATTCTCTTACTCTCTTTTTATAAACTTTCCTACTTAAAATATTGGAACTGTTAACTGGAACCCTGTAAGCAGAAGCTTTTTCTTCTCTTCCAGGTGCACCTTGTTTTTCCCTCATCCATTGCAGTAGGGTTTGGAATGATCTCAAGTATTTGATCTTGCACATCTTTGCAGGAGCCGTGCAGCATGCCAAGCTTTACTCTTCTGCTCATCTTCTGCTCACGTGCTCTATGTTTTTCCTCAAGTGTAAGCAACCTAAATGGAGGGGGAGAAAGCGTAGTGATGTACTTGGAAGTTGATACTCAAACAAGAAAATTTGCACTGCTAATTCCTTTGTGCAACCACTTAGCTTTGCTCAAAGATCCCACTGTTGAACCTTTGAACTGACTACAAAGCAAAGGCTTTCTTCATGTTTTTTTAAAATTACCAATGACCCCTCCCTGTATTTCAGAAACAAGTTCAGGCCAACGTGTGTGTTAATATGGAGACGGTGAAAGATGCGTTGGACCAACTCCGAGGGGCTGTAATGATTGTGTATCCAATGGGATTGCCTCCACATGATCCAATTAGGATGGAGTTTGAAGATAAAGAAGACTTGTCGGGAACTCATGTATGCAGTGATTTATTTGGATTGTATGTAGTGCCTGGCTTAAGTATGGGCAATGCTCTTCTCCATTTTATCCATGAAGGTTGATTTCCTTGACATGAAAAATTTTAACTCAATAGTAATTATATAACATTAAATATTAAGATAAATATTCTTTTATAAGTTTAACAATGAATAATTAATCCATTATTTAATTATTAAATTGGCTCATCATTATTTTACTAATAATTATTAATAAGAATTGTGAATATTTAATGTTATCTATAGATTATAGTAATATATTATTATTCATATATGATGTATGGTAACATAATATAAATAATTATCTGTATTATCAGATTACATTATCTAATGATACACTGTGATGTACCATATAATAATGTAGCCTATGGGAATACTATAACTACTTATTGTATTTTATAGTATGTAAGTATATTTAATGATAAATTTAATACCATGATTAGTATTTGATTTTTTTGTTGATAATAGATAATTTAGTTAACAATTTTAATTATGTTAATTTTGTTTAATATTTTTATCAGATTGTTTACATAAAAGCACACCAATAGCTTAACTAGAAATAAAATTAATTAGATTTATTTCAAATGTTACAGACAAAGTTCAGGTAAGCCTGGGACTCACTTTAAATAGCTTGTGATTTCTTTCTAATGCCACTATTGAAAATTTCTTGCCCAAAGTGTTTCTGTTTGATCAATGTTGAATGGAATGCGAATAAAGATGCTGTAGATCAGTATGAGGAGGAATATGTAGCATAATTATGATATGAAATTACACTGGCCTTTCTGTTTGGAATTCCAGAAAGATTTTCCCAGAAATTTTTTCTGGTTTTGGAGAAAAACTAAAAAATACCACCCCCACCCCAAACACCTCACCTTGTTTGTTTGTCACAGGCTGGACTTGAAGTCATAGAAGAATCAGAAGCACAGTTATGGTGGGCAGGAAAAGAGCTGAAAGAAACGAAGTTGCTCTCTGACTATGTAGGCAAAAATGAGAAAACAACCATCATTGTCAAGATTCAGAAAGTAAGTGTCCCTGGGAGATTACAAGTCACTCACCTGTGGTTGTCTGGTTCTCTGTGGAAGAGAATGGTCTGTAGGTTAATAAAATGGATTAGATTAGTTCTGCCTTGAGTGAACATCTGTTTTAAGGTTTTCATTTATTCTATTCTAAGTTTTTCTTTAGTAGTTCCTTTGCCTGTCAGTTAAATACTGTAGTTGCTGTTACTTGCTCCATAGCACTTTTCTAAAGTAGAGCAAAGAGCTGTTTAAAGATAGATGAAATACAAATGGAAGAGTTTAAAAAAGCCTTAGCTGGCGCTCAGTTCCGTCTCAGTGTAGAGAACTGAACAGACCCAGTCATTTGGTCTGCCTGGGATTTCTAATTGTGCTTGTGATGAAAGTACATATGAAAGCTGAGACCCAATAAAAGCATGTACAGATGTGGTAAAGTGAAGGTGAATAAAGTCTCCTTTGTCTGGTCTTTAAAAACCAGTTTTAATGTTTTGTGCACATGTGGTGTGGATACCTCTCATCCCCTTTTCAGTCTGCTCTGTGTCTGAAAGACAGTGTCTGTGATTTCCTGCCTGTGATGTCCCGAGTTTCCGGACGGCAGGTCCTCAGGCTGTCTCAGTTGCCTTGGAAACGTGGACACACATCTTCTTTCAGAGGACACAGGATGTGGAAGAGCCTGAACTCTGGCTCTCCCAAAGTGTTCAGTGGGAGCTCGTTGCTGCCAGAAGGAGGGACAGGCTGCTGGGCCTGCACCACCCATTGCGCTGTTGCTTCCAGCACGCCTAAAGCTCCCAGCTGTTTCTTTTTTTTAAAGAAGAGAGACTACCCAGTTGTCAGACATGGTGGAGCAGATGAGGCCTTCTCTCTTAATTGTGAACACAGGTCTGAGTCATCCTCTGGAGCAATGAGCTAAGATGAGGCAAAGATCTGCTGCTCCTCAGTTTCATAGACCTGATGCTTCAGCAAAAGCCAGTCATGAAGTGTATGCTGGTATCTGACACTATGGTCATGTTCTTGCAATATCAGAATTAGTACCAAGCTACTGGGACTGTTCCTTATTGGTTTGGTACAAAAAGTGATTTTGTACTAAGTGCTCGGTTGTGTTCATGTCTGCTGAAAATGCCATACTCAAGGGAAGAATGTTTGGTGTTTCAGTTCACTTTCAGAGCTTTGTCAGAAGATGCTCACCCTCTTTGTGTGTGTATATGTATGTGTGTGTATATCTATATGTAATATCACATTCAGAGGGTGCTTTTGTGAATGCCAAGTATCTCGGAGTACTTATCCATAGCTCAGAATTATTCTGGAGCTGTGTTCCACTTCCATGTCAGAGAGGGCTCTGCCACAGAAAGCATTAACGTTTATGGCAGATGTTGTTACCTGCAGGTGGCTGCAGTAGAATTCCTCAAAGATACGCGATTTATGTGTTTGTCATGTAGAACACCAGAATTGCTTTCTCTTTCCTATCAGGGTGAGTGAAAAATTGTGTGACAGCTCAACAGCCATTAAAGCATAGGCTCCCAGGAAAGCTGTCTTATTGTTTAATTAGTTGATGGACCTCATGGTGGTTTTCTGTCTGACAAGGGATGCCTAGTTTGGGGAGCTAATTTGAACCACCTCAGACCCTTTTTGTTCCAGAGAGGATTCACCATCTCTGTTCAAACTGTTCTGTTTGCTGTTGTTTACAATAGCTGTCATCAGCTATTTTCTGCTGTGGGCATAATTTCTTCCATGAGGACAGCTGCCTGGGAAAAAAAAATAATTCTTTTATTCATAGTAACAAGTAAAATTTCTTTTATTTGTAGTGTTTTGTAGCTGCCTTCCCTCCCTGTTTGACTAAGTCATATGCCATCTTGAGTCTGTATTATCAGGGGAGCTATAGATGGATGAGCCCATCCTGAGACATGTGGAACAGCCTTAAAGCAGAGGGATTTATTATGCCATTTAGAGCAGGAGTTTAAGTAAAATAGACTCAGTCCTGCTTGCAGCTTCCATCGATGTCCACAGAATTGACAGCATGATTCAGCCACTGAGATGAAAAGATAATTCTTGATTGAATGCAGTAGAAGTTTCTCAGCGTTTATTTTCCTGTCCTGAGTGACCTTATTAAGTTTGAGAAATCCTATTGTCTGAAGAAAAACTTTGCTATCTTTGCAGAGCAGCTTCTCTTTTGTATCGCAAGTGCAGTCATAAATAAAAGTTACGATTTCCCTTTCAGAAAGGACAAGGAGCTCCAGGGCGTGAACCTCTGATTAGTCACGAAGAGCAAAAACAGATGATGCTGTATTACTACAGAAAGCAGGAGGAACTTAAGGTAACAGGGTCTTTTTGTACTGCCTGTCAGCCGCGCCGTGGTAGGTACTTAACCACAGGTTATGTTCATGACTGCCACCTTAACCTGTCGGTTCTGTTTGCAGAAACTAGAAGAGGATGATGACGACTCGTTTTTAAATGCTGAGTGGGCAGACAACCATGCTTTGAAAAGGCAATTTCATGGTGTAAAAGACATCAAGTGGGGGCCAAGATGAAGCTCTCCAAACACCTTGCTGCCTCTTTAAGCTCTTCGGTTGATTCACTTGTTTGCAGTGAGGAGTTGTGTTGTTTGCCATAGATTCTGCAGACAGAAGCTGAAATTGTCCCTTCCATAGCAGATGCCTGTTTCAGCCTTAGGTTTTCAGTAAATGTTAACTGGAGCAGTACTTCTCTCTGCATGGAATAGAGTCAGTTCTCTTGAGGTTTGTTATTTTGTTAGAAGCTTGTAATTTGAATATTGAAGTATTAAACTATTTCATAGGTAATATATCTACAATATATGCAATAGAATGTTTGGTATTGTTCTGAGTGGTCTTTATCCTGCCTTCCTGATTCTTTCATTTCTTTTAGATGGTGCGGTCTGTAGAAGGTAATTTTATAAGAAATCAGTTTTCCCAGGCTAATCCAGTGAGGGTTAGTGATTTTTATGTGCTTGTTTGGATTTCAACATAGCCAGTTCTAAACTATCTTTTTAAAATGGGTTGGCCTCTAAACAGTTATTTAGAAAAGTATTTTTATATAAACACAAATAACACGAAAATCCTTGTGGAATGCTTCATTTTCTTGCTTTTGGTTTAGTTTTCATTGGCATTGGAAGCCAACCAGGCGATCTTCTTCAGTGTAACGAGCTGCTAGCCATGGTGCTTTTATGTAAAGATCAGCAGAAGTCTGTTTATGGAATTAAGCATCATTTGCGAGTAGGTCGGGTACAATAAAACCAAGTTTAGTAGGGCAAGACCTCTGACGTGAAAGTACTTCTATGGTTGTGACTGGGCTAAAAGGGCTTAGTTTCTAACAAACCAGCATTTTAAAATGAGAAATCGCAAAGTTCGTCGGACAGTGCTTCCACTATATGCCTGATGTCTGTTACCATTCCTGAAATGCACCATCGGTCAGTTCTGGGTTTCAGGGTGAACAAAGGAAGTGCTACTGGACCTGAAGCGAACGTTGTGTCTGTTTTTGAAGGGAGGATTCTGATTTGGGATACTCTGGATGACTAATGCACAATTAAATCTCTAGGTAGACAATAAATGTTTAGAAACAAGTTGCTCAAGTTTTATGTGTTTAGACTTCCGTGTCCTTAAAGGAGGTGCTTTTCTCTGGAGGCAAGTGCGCATCCTCATCAGGTTGCTGAGCAGTGGAAAGCCAGGGTGCCCTGAAAATCCTGTGTGAGGATCAGCTGAGTGTTGTGAAGGGGGTGAACCAATGTGGGCACTGACAGCCAACAGCCCAAATGATGTCTGTGTTCACACCCCAAGGCAGTTGTCCCTAGGGCAGAAGGGAGCCGAGAACACCCATCTTTCCGGTTCCACGGTGTAAAGAGGAAAGCCAGCTGAGTACCTTGGGTTTGCAGCTGGTGACAGACTTGAGGATACCGAGTTGCCCCGGCACACGCGCGCACTTCCTTTCCACCTGGGCCAAACTGCGTCATGTTCGCAAGCTACACCGTTCTCAAGAACATCTCATAGTTTAGGTCAAACGTTAATGTGAAATACTCTTTGCAGGTGCCACGTCGTGGCACTGTGGTGCTAGGGCTGCCCAGCACTCTGGAAGCCAGGGGGGTTACGTATGCTGTCTGACCTTGCACCCGCTTTTGACGTTCTTCATTGATAGATTTTTGTCTTACTCATGTCCTGATCCTCATGTCAGGAGGACTTAGTGGCACAGACACCTGGAAACAGAAACGTCTGAGGTACTGTCAGGCAGAAGCTGCCTGCCTTGCCAAACCTGCCAGCGCAACAAGGTCAAGCAAATCCTGCAGTCACTGACTGTCCCCTACAAATACCTGGCTGTGACTCTCCACGTGCACAAACCTCAATACTCCTGGCTTAAATCTCTCTGCTCCTTTGAGTCCTTGTAAAATAACAAAGAGGAAGTGTTTTGCTGGTCGCTTTTGGAGGATGAAGAACCCCATCATTTCCTGTAAGCAGTAGTATGGTTGAGGAGACACTGGTCCAGTTAAACTGAAGTGTTTGCTGAACTCACAGCTGGAAGAATGAATGCAGAAAAGGGAAATAATGCCATTCAGTGAACTACTGATGGTGTTTGTACTTCAATCCCTTGTTCTTTTAGGAAAGTTTGGTGTCTGCTAGTTTTTCTCTCCTATTAACTTTACAGTGACGTGTTTTCACAAAAAAATATCAGTATTTGGGATTTGTGTCATTTGCAGAACTTAAAAATATTTTATGTTTAAAAACTACTTGGGATTATTTCTATGTGGCAAGAAAATAGAGCGTCTTTTAAGAGAACGCTTTGTTCTACTCCTTCGTCAGGTGAAAACTGGTGTCCTGTACAACTCCTTGGAGACTTTTAACTACTCCCATAGCTGAAGGCTTTTTGCCCAATGTGCCCCTTTGCCATCATCAAAGGGCGAAGGAAGTCTGGAAAGGCTTTATTTCTTACTGCCACTGCATTGCAGTGTACAGTGGGGGGTGAATGTTCTCGCTCCATCGCTGGGGTTGGGAGCACTTGGTGAAATCATTACAAAATCATACCAGTCATTTATGTGTTGCGGAGGGGTCGAGTCACCCAGTTCTGGCTTCTGGCCAGTCCTGCCGGCTGTGAGGGGCCCGGGTTGGCAGGGGTGCTGCTGGGGCTTTTAAGGGGCTTCTACCCATACAAAACCTCTCCCTCCTCTCCTCTTTCTTTTGCGAGTGGGTTTCGCAGGGATTGTCTGAACGCTCTCCAAGGGCCCAAATTTCAAAACAGAAAGTAATTATTTTGGTTGGGCAATTACATATATATCTATGTTTCAAAAAAAAATCAAATTACTATTTATAGATTAATGACCTAGGGTTGTTGCACTTTTGTTTTCCCCTTTTCCAGCAACCTTCTAAAATATTTATGCCTTTTTGGCAGCCAGAAACAACCTAGCCCCGTTTGTAAGTTTTAAAGCAAGCTGTGTGGCAGCCTGGCACGTTCTGTATCCAGGGGAGAGTTAGAACCTACGGTTCCCAAACTTAATTCCTCCAGGGATCGCTTTGTTTCTTGTGCTGCTTGCGACAACACTTCCCCCTCCCCCAAATCCCATCTTTTCTGTTTAACGGGCTGGCTGAGGATGGCCAGCTGTGCCGTGTGGCGTTGGTTCTGCCAACCTGGGAGGGAGATTCCCAGAAGATGGACTGCCCATAAGCTACCCAAGGTGGAGATCTGCTCTGGGATCGAGGACTGCAACGTGACCTTCCCAGTTGTATATTTTTATGGGCATTTATGCACCCCAGAATTTATTTGCTGGCTCCCTGTGCTCTGAAAATAAGTTTTTGTGGTACTTGGTCGTAACTGCATTGAGGTGCGTGGCCTTGGCAGGAAGCTCCCCAGATGTTTTGGATCAGTTAAAATGAATGCTTGAAAATATCCAACTGAATCCTTCTTACAAACAGAGCTTTCATCTTGGATTATCCCAAGGAGCTTGTTCTGTCGGCTCCCAGTCCTGTAAATAACTGAAGTCATCGCTGGCCTTTGGCCATTTGATTTCATGTCCTTGATACCAGGCAAGTAGTGAGGAGCAGCGGAGGCAAAGTGAAAATAACGTCAGCAGAAGACTGTATCTGTACTCCCTGGATCTCGCTCGTTAAACCCTGCTGCACATCTGAGTGAGTGGCTTTCCGTGACAGAACTGGCCCGCGTTGCTCCCAGAGCTGTTTCTGCAGTTGGCATGTGCGTCGAAGGAGCCCAAGAAGCTTCACTGTATTTCCATGACTTGCTGAGTATTACTGTCTCACTGAAAAAGGGACTTTTAAACCACCGTTCCATGGAGGAATCCGAGGGGGATGTTGGAACAGGACCTTTGACTGTGGTCCTTCTAATACTGTCATTTCCTCTCAGAGCGAGGGAGAATCAGCCATAGGAAGTAATTAACACAGAAGAAACTCCATTTGATTCTACGTACCTTGGGCTGCTGTAATTGGCCGTTTGCTTCTTTAGCTGAGAAAACAGTCCATAGGATCGCTGCTCTTGGGAGTTCTCACAGCAGCGCCCGCGGATCTGCTGGATTCATTTACTGTGGCTGAAATGGAATGAACTTGCTGGAGAAGGATGAAAGCCGACAGGAACAAAGCAAAGCCTATAGGTATTTGTATATCTGCGCTGAAGAATTTGAGGATTGTGAGATAGGAACACCGCACGTAGGTTTGCAAACATGGGAAAGGAAAGCGGTTTATCTGTCCTCTAAACCGCTGATTTCTGGAAGTTTGATAGCAGACATGGCTTTCTGGAGGGAAAATCCATTCTCCATCAAAGGACGCACACAGTGGAACATTGTGAAAATGTTTGTTTTGTGGCCGTATCGCCACCCTGATTAATGGAAATTCCTATCACGTGGCGTGAGATTTGCTAATGCCGTTACAGTCCTTAACGTGCTATTGAGGTTTCCGTGAGCAGGAGGCGAGGGGGAGCAAGGCGCGGGCACTGGGTGCCCTGTGGACATGGCTCCGCCGCCGCTTCCCCTCGGGAGGTCGGCTGCACTCCCGCAGGGTTGCAGGGTGGGTGCTGCTCTGCCCTGGGACAACGCCACTGCCCTTCCAGGCACCTGCCAGCCCTGTGCCCACCAGTAGGTTCTCCTGGCTCTGCCAACCTGTTTTCCCATTTCATTTTACCTGAGGGTGACAGGCAAAAGCCACCAGGCTACTGAAACTTGACTGCCGTACTGGAAGGTATTAGAGCAGGCTGAGCCAGATATGCGCAACGCGTTTTAAAGCCCCTGGTGACATTTCCTGATTATTTTCCCTCGCTGTCCCCCCTCTCTGCCCACAAAGCCCTGTGCCCAGTTGAGTGGCAGGAGGGGACTGTGTGGCTGCGGGATGAGGCCTCTGCAGTGGGCTGCCCCTGCTGCAGGGGTGACCCCGGGGGAGTTCCCAGTGCCCGACTCCACGCTGGAGGTGGGGGCCCAGTGGGTGCAGGGACCTGCCATCCCGCCGGGGCACGGCTCCTCTTCCTGCTCAGCACCCACAGCCCTGGGAGCCTGGAGCCTGCAAAGGTCTGGCCTGATGGGGCCAGAAAGCAGAGGATGCTTGTCACCACGGGTGGCAATGTCTCCCTGCCAGCAGATGGGAAGATTTGCAGCCCTGAGGAGAAGGACTTGGGGGTACTGGGGGATGAAAAGCTGGACATGAGCCGGCAGTGTGCG